AAAGGAGTATGTCAAGGCTGTATATTGTCACTCTGCTTATTTAACTTATATGCAGAGTACATCATGAGAATGCAGAGTACATCACTTGAACTCAGTGAAGCACAAGCTGGAATCAAGATTGCTGGGAGAAATATCAATAACCTCAGAAATGCAGATAACACTACCATTATGGCAGAAAGTGAAAAAGAACTAAAGATCCTCTTAATGAAAGAGGAGAGTGATAAACTTGGCTTAAAACTCAACATTCAGAAAACTAAGACCATGGCAACAAGATCCATCACTTCATGGAAAATAAATGGAGAAACAGTGGAAACAGTGACTGACTTTATTTTTCGGGGCTCCAAAATCACTGCAGATGGTGACTGCAGCCATGAAATTAAAAGACACTTGCTCCTTAGAAGGGAAGTTATGACCAAGATAGACAGCATAGTAAAAAGCAGAGACAATACTTTGCCAACAAAGGTCCATCTAGTCAAAGCTATGGTTTTTCCAGTAGTCATGTATGGATGTGAGAGTTGGACTATAAAGAAAGCTGAGCACCTAATAACTGATGCTTTTGAACTGTGGTGTTGGAGAAGACTCTTGAGAGTCCCTTGGACTGCAAGGAGATCCAATCAGTCCATCCTAAAGGAAATCAGTCCTGAATATTCATTAGAAGGATTGATGCTTAAGCTGAAGCTCCAATACTTTGTCTACCTGATGTGAAGAGCTGACTCATTTGAAAAGACTGTGAAACTGGGAAAGATTGAAGGCGGGAAGAGAAGAGGATGACAGAGGATGAAATGGCTGAATGGCATCACCGATTCAATGGACATGAGTTTGAGTATATTCCGGGATTTGGTGATGGACAGGGAGGCCTGGCATACTGCGGTCCATGGAGTCACAAAGAGTCAGAAAAACTGAGGGACTAACTCAACCGAATCACTGTTATCTCACTCTTAGTTTATAGAACATACCATCATCTGAGATTTTTTTAAATTTTTACATAAATACATATATTTTAAACTATTAATTATTTTATTTACTTCCCTCACTGGGAAGTAAGGTCTTTAAGAGCAGGGACATGGCTATCTTTTACAACAATGCATCTCTAGTACCTAGAATAGAGCTTAGAATAAAGGTGTTCAACGAATACTTGCTGGATGGATACATGAAATAACGTATGTGAATATCAACTCGAGCACTTGTTACCTAAGCAGATTTGCAGATATACAACTCTACTGGACTTTGGCTTTGTTATGTGTACAATGAAAATATTAGTATCCAACTTATAAGGCTTTTATAAAGAAAATATCATAAATGAGAAAATTAGTTTTCTACCAGTGTTTGTATAGATTAGGCCTTTAATGATAAGTGAAGGAATAACAGTGTGACTCAGATCATGGGAAAGAAAAATTCCTCCTTTGATGGAAGATGTTAACAGACAATACTGAGCAGTCACAGTATAGTTGCTGATATGACGTAATGTCTGTCTTGTCTGTCTAGACTCCAGTCGAGGAAGTTGTAGTCTCTTACAACCAACTCTAACAGCTTTTGTGACACTAAAACATTTATTTGTGTTCAAGTTTTCTTGTTTCTTCAGTTATAATCAGGTGAATGGATACTATACATATATACATACATAAACATGTTTATATATGTGTGCACATGCATAAATACTTTACATATATTCTATATTTATGTATAGTGTATATAATAACATATGTATACCATATGTACTACATGTTATATACACTACTATGTAATACATGTAATAGATCTTTCCTATATATATGTATAATATACATACTATATGTTACATGTGCCATTGTACATAGAAAACTAATGTCTAGAGATCTTATTTCATGAAAATAAATGTCACTAAATGTTATAACATTGATCAAAATCTGGTATTTTTGTTCTGAAATCATTTTTCTCTATTAGTTTTTTATGAGAGCAGTATTTTGTTGAAATTAACACTTTTCGAGGTGGGAGTAAGCAGACACTGAAAACATAAAAACCAATCAAATTACCAAGAACATAAGTTATTAATGGGCTTCTTATGTGTATCCACTGGCCTTCATACTATTGAATTCAATACTTAATTGAATACCTCATATTGAATATAATTTAAGTCTTCTGCAATAACTTGAATTTCATTGCAAAATTAATTTTTTTGTTATTAGTCCTCCCTCCCCTTCTGCACTCAATTTTTTTAAGTGTAAGAAATCTGCCTTATATTTGAGAAAGCAGTCAACTTAAATCCATGCAGAGGTGTGAACAATGAATAGGAGTTACCGAGCACAGTTCTTACTGATACCTGTTGCCATGATGTAATTATTAAAAGCATACAGCTTCTCTTGCAAGAGTGTCTTCCCTTGTGAATTATATGTTTATATTACTAATCAGTGTTTGTTAAATCAAAGAAAGATAGCTCACCTGTGAAATGGCACTAAATAGGACAAAGCAAAGTGTACAGGGTCAGGGCAACATGAAAGAGATTTTGGGGTCAGAGGGTATTTCGGTTGCACTTTATTCATCTAAATATGGAAGCCAACTTCCTGTGTGGTCACCCCTGTTGGATTCAATTCTCTGAAGCAAAGAAACACATAAAAACCCTAAAGAAATAAATGTTGTGCAAATACACTTTTTCCTTGCAAAACACACAAGGTCATAATATATAATGTTCAACTTTTTTAGAGATCTTTCCTAAGTTTCATTTCATAAAGAACATATCAAATGATATGTGCCCTGTGAGGGCTATCACAGGGCAAAGATTATCATTAAGTTTTCACAGTTGAGTTGAGAAAACTGAGACAGAGAATTTAGTGCCTGGACAAATTTGGAAGAAGCC